TGAAATAAAAAAAAAAAAAGATAGTGCATGCCTATAAAGCTCAGCACTTTTGAGGAAGAAACAGGAAGTTTGTGAGTTCAAAACCAGCCTTGGCTAGATAGCAAGACCCAAAATCCCAATAAATAAATATAATATTAATTAACTTACAATGTGTCAGTTTACTTGTCAGTTTTCTGTTGCTATAAGAAAATGTCTGTGATAAGCAATTCAAAGAGAGAAACGGGTTATTTTTGTCGTGAAGTTTTGGCTGCTTTTGGGGCTTGTGGTAAAGCAACATTATGTGGGAGGGGTACGTGTGACAGAATATTCACTTCATGGCCAGGAAACAAGAGGAGGCAGCTGAGGTCCCAACATTCCCTTTGCAGCCCCTTCAAGGACATGGCCTCAGTGGCCTAAAGATTACTCATGAACCTCGTTTTCACCTATTAAAAACGTGTGTGCACATGCATGTACCCAGGGCTTTGTACAGACTGAGTATGTTTTACCACTGAGATATGCCTATGGCCTTTGGCTTTAACTTCTAAAGGTTCCTCAGACTTCCAATACCACCAAGCCTTTAATTCATGGACCTTTGAGACACATTACAAATCTAAACTGGTGTTTAAGAGCATTGACTGCTCTTCCAGAGGACCCGGGTTCAATTTCTAGCACTGGCCTGGTGGCTCACAACCATCCATAACTGCAGTTCCAGGGGATTTGACACCCTCTTCTGACCTCCATGTGCACCTACACATGCACACACACACACACACACACACACACACACACACACACACACACACACAACACACACACATATAACCCACACACACCTACACACACACATATGCACACACACCTACACACACACACATACACACACACACACACACACACCACACACATACACCTACATACCACACACACAAACACACACACACACACACACACACACACACACACACACACACACACACATTGCACCCCAAGGATTAAACTCAGGGCCTCCCACAAATACAGAAAGTGATTAGTCACTGGGCTACATCCCAGCTGTAGTTTTAGTTTAATAGATTTTTCATTTATTTTTTAGACAGGGTCTTGCTCTGGAACTCTCTATACAGACTGGTGTTGACTCACAGAGATCCACTGTCTTTTGCCCCTAGTCCTAGAATTAAAGGCAAGTACCACCACCACTGGCTTTCTGGGGGAGAGAGACCCTAGGGTGTGAACTCAGGACATCTCGAACACTAAGCAAGCACTCTACTATGGCCCCAATCCGTGGTAATAATTTTGAACTTTGAAATTTTTAGAAGAAAAATAACTTTTGAAAAGACATATATTAAGTAATTTCAATTTGCATTTATTTTCATGCTTATTTACTTTTCTTTTTAAGTGAAAGCTCAAACACATGATTTTGTTGTCTTCCTAACAAAAGCAACTTAGAATGCTCCTGTGTCTTACTATTCAGCATTTTCTCAGACCTGCAGCAGGGCTCCACACGCTCAAGTCTCTGCACAGCCTTCATTGTGATTTTAGCCTTTTTGGGAAAACAGGCTTAGTCTGCCTAGCATAGGACTGTTTCCTGTCAGAATGCCACTTTCCCTGGACGTACAAAGAATCCCTGTCCTTGTACTGTGTCACTTTGTGGGGCTGGGGCTTGCCACATTTCTTGAGAAAAGCCTGGTGTATGGTGGTATTTTATTTGTACTGAAATGTGATTTTATTTGTATGTTAATAAATAAAGTTGCCTGGGGGTCAGAGCTAATAGCAAGCCATAGCAGAGCTGGGTGGTGGTGGTGCACGCCTTTAACCCCAGCACTTGGTAGGCAGAGCTAGGTAGATCTCTGTGTGTTCAAGGATACAGCCAACAGACAGTGACTAGGCAGTCATGTGGTTGGTTTTACAACCAATGAGAAGGCAGAACAGAAAGTCTATATAAAGACAAACACATAGGAAGTAGCTCTCTTTCGGAGAGTTCTCTTGGCTGAAGAGGCTAGCTGCAGCAGGCAGGTAAGGCTCTTAGCTCTGATCTCTTGGCTTTCTTTGCATTGGCTCTGTGTTTCTTATTTAATAAGACGGTTGGTTACATCTACACTGGTGGGTCTTAAGAACATTCACTACGTTCAAGGGAGTCACATTGGCACAGAAAGGTTTTGTGTTTTTTTAAGTCTTTTTTTTTAAACTTTTTTTTTTTTTTTTTTTGGTTTTTCGAGACAGGGTTTCTCTGTGTAGCTTTGCGCCTTTCCTGGAACTCACTTTGTGGACCAGGCTGACCTCGAACTCACAGAGATCCACCTGCCTCTGCCTCCCGAGTGCTGGGATTAAAGGCGTGCACCACCACTGCCCGGCCTTATTTATTTTAAGAATGAGTGTTCTATCTGTTGGTTACGCTGTGATGCTGCTCCTCGTGGCTGGCCACTGCGGGTGGCGACCATGCCGACAGAGGAGAGTGCTGGAGGAGAGTCACGAGCCATGGTTACCTTTTACCTTTTTAGAGCTTTATGGGGGGGGAGAGGGAGAGAGAGGGAGGGAGAGAGAAAGGGAACGGGGGGGGGGGGGGGGAATAAGACAGACTGAAGGAAGGAGCAAAAGGAAAGAGAGGGGCACACAGAGGGCCCACCCACTTTTTAGGCTGGGACACTGTCGCAGGCTGATGACGTAATTAAGGACCGAATCCTTACACTATCTGCACATACAACTTTATGCCAGAAGAGAGCACCAGATCTCATTACAGATGGTTGTGAGCCACCATGTGGTTGCTGGAAATTGAACTCAGGACCCTTGGAAGAGCAGACAGTGCTCTTAACCTCTGAGCCACCTCTCGAGCCCCTGGTATTTACTTATTTTTTAAGATTTGTTTAAAAACTATGTATATAAGCTGGGTGGTGGCACAAGCCTTTAATCTCAGCACTTAAGAGGCAGAGGCAGGCAGATCTCTATGAGGTCAAGGCCAGCCTGGTCTACAGTTAGTTCAAGGACAGCCAAGGTTATGAAAAGAAACCTTGTCTTAAAAAACCAAACCCAAACAAACAAAAACAAACCTATGTGTGTAATGGTGTATGAGTGTGTGTGCATATGAGTGCAGTACCCTCAGAGGCCAGTTGGATCCCTTGGAGCTGGAGTTAAGTTGTGAGCTGCCCTACATGTGTGATGGGATCCAAACTCCAGTCCTCTGCAAGAGTAGTATGTGATCTTAACTGCTGAGCCAATACTCCAGTCCCTGTTATTTTTAGAAGAGAGTCTCATGTAGCCCCAGCTGCCTGGAACTCTCTATTTACTAGAGGATGACCTTGAACCTCTGAGCCTCCTGCTTCTACTTCCCAAATTCTGGGATCACGGGTTATATAGGTGATCCCAGAATTTGGGATCCTATGGGGAGCAGATGAAGTCTTGAGTGAATGTGTACTGTTGACATGAGCATGGCCACATTGAGGACCCCAACAACTCAGACCCATAGGAATGGCAAAGGTGTTGGGATCCTCGATTGAGTACAGATGTTGACGAATGGCTGACCTTTAACTAACACCAGTGTGTGCAGAGACTGCAGCTGACCTGGACGTTGACATTGAACTATCAACCGCAGCTTCCCCCTCCTAGATGATGGCAACCTGAGACTGCTCCCCTATGGATCAGCCAGCCTGCATCCTCCTCTCTCACTGAGTTTCCAGGCTTCTGTTGATGCACCTCCACCAGAACGCACCTTCCCAGCTTGTGTGTGTGTGTGTGTGTGTGTGTGTGTCCCTCATTCACCACCTCCCCAGTTAAAGCACTGTCTAGGCCTCAGAGATTGTGGCAGTATCTAGTTTATGTAGTGCTCAGCTCAAATCAGGGTCTCCATGCTAGGCACTCTACCTTCTGAGCCACACTGTAGGACCCTATTTTGCTTTTGGAGACAATGTCTCATTTTGTAGTCCAGGTTGCTCTCACTCTGTAAGCCTAAACTCGTCCAAACTCACCAACCGAAGTCCAACTGTCTCACCTCCTAAGTGATGGAATTACAGGCATGAGTCACCATACATAGCTTGTTTGTTTGTTTGTTTGCTTTTTCAAGACAGGATATATATATATAATTTTTACATTTCACCCAAGAGTTGGTGAACTGGCTCAGAGGGTGAAGGCCTCTGCTGAAACACCTGAGTTCAATCCCAGGTTCAACATTAAGGCCGGCGTTAACCAAGTAAATGCAACTGTGTATCCCTCGCAATGTCAACAGTGTAAATGTATCATTTACTGCACTTGAAACAATTTGTAATTGCTGTTTCCTCTTACACAAACACAACCAGAAGCCACTGTGTAATCAGAGGAGGAGAGGAAGAGTCGCTAATTTGTTGAGACAGGATTTTCATGTAACCCAGACTGGCCTCAAGCTTGCTACTTAGCCAAGGCAAGCCTAGCAGCAAGATCTTCCCGCCTCCACTGCCCCAATGATGAGCTGATGCCGAGTGCCAGGTGTTTTATTTCTATTTCTATTTATTTCTTTGTAGCTCAGTCTGGCCTCAAACTTTCTAGTCTTGTACCGAAGGAAAACCTTGACCCACCCACCCCCTTCCTACCTTCGTCTCCCGAGGGCTGGGATTACAGGGGTGCACCCTCACACTGGGTTGAGACTTGATGTTTTCAACTCCGACACAGTTTTCTGGAGACAACGTCTATAATTCACAAAGGCGTCCTAGGCTTTGGCTACTCCAGAGAAAGAACCTCGGCTTTCAGACCAAGTTCTTCTGGAACTAGCTGCCAAGCTCAGCAGGCCTGGGATGGGACTCCCACGCCCCCACTCCTCACCCCACATCCCCACACCTCTACCTCCACAGGGCGGTCATCCAAGGCGCCGCGTCCAGCAGGGGTCGCTGTGACGGCGCCACCATACCCGCACGCGCCTGGGGGTCCGCTCTTGCGGCGTGGGCTAGGGCGGAAGGGGCGGGGCAGGGACCGAGGTGGCTCCGGGCCTGCGGTCGGCGCGGTCCGGGGAGGGACCAGCGGACTGCGCAGGTGAGTGCGCCCCTACTGGCCCGCCCGCCGGCCCAGCCCCTGGCGGGGGTGACTCGCCGGCCACCGGCCTCGGCCCTGCCGCGCTCCTGCCGAATCTGCGAGGACGTCCGGTTCCGCAGAGTCGGGCCTGCCCGGGACGCCTCTCGAACCCCGGGACCGCGGGAATGGAGCTGGCCCAAGCTGTGCGTCCCCAGGGCCTGGCCGCAGCTGGCTGCAGACACTGCCCCGGGCTGGCGGCGTGGGTGTCCAGTTTCCTTCGACCTTGGCAGACCTGGGGAGGTGCGGGGTGGGAGGGCTCCAGGGGAAGGCGTCCCTGTCTGGAAGTCAGCCCCCGACGTCGGCAGAAGGGAAGGTGTGCGTAGCTGCAGTAGACCTCGCCGCCGACTGGAGGCCAGGCTCCCCGGGCTTACCGAGCAGTGACAAGCTGGGGAACGCGGATCCAGTCTCGTCATCGTGCAGTCAAGGGCAGCGTTGCCCTTGTATCCCATACTCTCCACTTCCGGCAGTCTTAGCCTTCGTTAGCACATTCTATAGCTTTATAAAAGTCGAAACCGAAACAAACCTAGGGTTTTCTCCCCGAGTCACATCCAGTGCAAACTGCTGCCAAGGAGATCTTGTAATACGGACTCCTGCCGGGTCACTTTCCTATTAAAACTCTAGCTCTCATGCTGCCCGGGTCACTTCCAAACTTAGGTATCAAAGGCTTTTGGAAATCTAGTGTCAGTCCAGATACACTGTTCTTTTTTGAGCTCATTCTCATGCAGCAGCCTTCTGTTACCGATTTTTGTTTTTTTTTTTTTTTTAAACCGGTCCGGTGTAGCCCAGGCTGGCATCGTACTCACTTTGTAGCGGAGATGTCCTTGAACCCCCGAACCTCTCACCTCTTTCCCAGATGGCTTGAAATACATGCTTGTACCACCGTTCCCGTTCTGGAAGTTAAAAACTTCCACAAGTTTTTAACTGCCAGACACTATTTTGTGCACTTGAGATAAAGTGAAGGAAATTAAAATAGGGAGGGAGAGGAATTCTACTCTTGTGGCGTAAAACACATGCAGACAAATAACATCCAGTAAATTATGTGGCAGCATGTGATAAGAGCTCGGGGTCGGGTAGCTGGGAATAGAGTTGGAATGAATAGACCTGGCTGAGGAGATGCTTGAGTTTAGACTTGAAGGTGAGTTCCCCTTGCAGATAGATACCTAGGCAAGAGTGTTCTAGGCCTGCATGGAACAAGGACCTAGTTTGGCTGGAACGTGTCCCCTAAGTTTCATGTGTTGGGAATTTGGTGCACTGCCATTAGGAAGAGCTGGGTTCTCCCGATGAATAGACAAGTCTGTTCATGGACTAGTAGTAGCTCATTAAGAGAGTACATGGCTTGTGAAAACAAGCTGTATCTGGCATGCTTACACCTTCTCCCCACTCTGTCTTCTACCTCCTGATGTATCAAGGCCTTTCACCAGGTGTCCACATCTAAAGTGTGCAGAAGGGAAAGGTGGTTTGGGGGGTGGGGAGTAGATACAGTTGACCTTGAGTTTCCCAGACTCTAGAGCCATGAGGTAAATAAACCTCTATTCTTTATAAATGGCTCTGGCTTTAATTCATTTGTAGCCATGGAAAGAACACTGAGAATAGTCCCGTGTATGTGAGGAGCGTGAAGACGACAGTGTAAGTGTGGCAGGAACTGAAGCTGAGTAAGACAGGAGGTTATTTTTGTGGGTGGTTTTGATTTTTTTCAAGACAGGGTCTCACTGTGTAGCCCTAGCTGTCTGGGATCTCACTCTGTAGACCAGGCTGGCCTCGAACTCACAGAGATCTGCCTGCCTCTGCCTCCCGAGTTCTGGGATTAAAGATGTGCGCCACCACAACTATCAGAAGACGGGGATGTTTATCATTGGGCTGTGATGTAAATGTCGCGTTTAGGGCTGAGCAGTTAACAGGCACTTAGTCTCAACACTGATTAGCTAGTTTCTACCTTGACTGATGGCCACTGCAAAAAGCTTTCCTGACTCATTTCTGGGTGTAAATGTAAGTATTTAGAAGGCAGTTTGACACCATATGAGCACAGCAAAACAATAGAAGTGGGTTTCTCCCAGTACCTTCCCAGCCATGGGCTTTTTGGCCAGGTTTACAGTAACGCCTTTCTTAATTCTCTTAATTTTGTGACAGGTTCTCATTAAGTCACCCAGACTGGCCATGAACATACTCTGGTCTAGGCAAGTGCTGAACTTCAGGTCTTCCTGCCCTCCCAGGTTCAGAAAAGTCTTTTCTTTATTTTTGAGGAATTTAGTCTTGCTCTGTAGTTCATGCTGGCCTCAACTTTCACTGTGCCAGGCCTGAAAACCTGTATGCACTTCCTGAACCCATGCAGAAAGGCCAGATGTGGTGTGTGTGTCTGTAGTCCCAATACTCTGTTGCCAGGACGAAAGACAGAGACAAGAGACTTAGCTTGGAGTACACAATATGGCAGAAATGAGAGAAGTAGGATGGAAAGAGTCCTGACTCCTGGAAGATGTCCTCTGGCCTCCACATGCATGCCGTGCTGCCCACCCGCCTTGTGCACATCATATACACACATTCAACAGTAATTGACATCAGTAAACAGAACTGTCCAACCATCGTCCCTGCCCGACACTTGGGAAGTGGAAACAGATGCGTTCAAGGCCAGTCTGAGCTACCTGAGACCCTGTCTCAAAGCTAGGAGGGGGAAAATCACTAGAAGCTGGACCTGGCAGGACAAACTTGTCATCCCAGCGTGTGGGAGCCTCAGGCAGGAGGGCTGTGAATTGAAAAACAACTAGGCTACACAACAAGACCCTGCCTTGAAAATAAAGAAAACCCGCTAACCTGCAGAAGGGTGATGTCGCATGAAGTGAGATAAGAAGGCTCCGGACTACCTGTGAGGTACCTTTAGTCACCCATTGGTCCTGTCACATTCAGTTGGACATTGTGTGTGTTGATCACAAAGAAGATACCCGTGGCTGTGATTTATTACAGTATGGGTGTATGAAGCAAAGTAAGGAAAGGAGCGAGGCACGGGGTGGAGTGAAGGAAAGCAGGCCTGATGTCACCTACAAGTCTGCAGTGGCCTCCTGCAGGAATCATGTGACTCCTCCAACAACAACTTGGGGCAGGCTTCCAGGAGAGAAGTTAGGGGTTCAGCATGAATCAAATTACAGTTTCAGTACAGTGAGCCACTCCTCCAAGTTTGGGGGATTCGGGGAACTGCCGATACTGCAGCAGCCAGCTTGGCAGTAGGCCTTCCTACAAACAGCAGTCAGGTCTTTTACACTAACTCCGTCAGGTGTACAAGTCTGGAATTTGGAAAGATTTAAAGCCGCAGGAGCCAGGTATAGTAATCCGTGCCTGTAATTTCAGTACTCTAGAGGCTGAGGCAGGAGGATCAAAAGTTCAAGGGTAGCCTTTGCTGCGTGGTGAATTTGAAGCAGCCTAAAGTACGTGAAATCTTATCAAAAGTTTTTGGGGATGTCAAAGGGACAAATGGCAGGGGATGGCGCAGAGGAGTTGGGACAGTCAGGGGCCATACCAAAGGAAAAGAAAGAATCCTTTTTTAGGAGTATGTGTAAAAGTGACGTGGAAGCTATGTCCGGTCATCAGATGTTTTCCTCATTGCCTTGAGACTGGGTCTCCCACTGAACTGGAAGCTAGCTGTTATGACCGGACTGACTGGCTGATTAGTGACTTCTCGAAATATGTTTGCTTCCCAGAGCTTGGGGATTGCAGGCACTCACAGCTGTGCCTGGCCTGACATGGGTGAGGAGATTCGAACTCAGATTCTTATGTTTGTAGAACAAGCCATAGCACGGAGTCATCTGCAGCCCCTAGAATCCTTACCTGATTGTTTTTGTTTTTTGTTTGTTTGTTTTTAAAAGATAGATTCTCCTATGTAGACCTAGCTGGCCTGGAACTTGCTGTGGAGACCAGCCTGGCCTCAGACTCACAGCAGCCCACCTGTCTCTTTCTCCTAAGTGCTGGGATTACTGGCATGTGCCATCTGCCCATGGATTTTTCGTTTGTTTTTCTCGTTGTTTTTGTATCCCTGGCTGACCTTGAACTCCTGATCCTCTGTTTCCAAAGTGCTGAATTATGTACCTGTTTCATCTCGCCTAGCATCCTTTATCTGTAAACGGAATGTAAGAAGCCAACATTCGCTGCTTTGATTTAAGAGGAGCTCCAGAACCTGGCCGGTCATCTTTTCAGATACTGCACTCCTTACTCAGGGCTCTCCTGATTAGTTTTGGATTCTCAGGTTCCTCCCTTGGGTCCTGTTCACTGTTAACATCTACAAATGGTCACCACCTTTAGCAAAAACTAGGATAATGCCTTCCCTCAATTTTATGGTTTTTATACGTTTCTATCTAGATTTCCATCGTTTGGGATGTTTGCCTGCTGGGAAGTGAAGGAGATCACAGAGAGAGAGTGAGTAGCTAATAAAGGTAACATTTGGCTTAACGCTTTGAAACTTTTGTTATATTTACAAATGAACATGATTCAAGTTGATATCTTCAGCTAGAAGCTTTCCTAGTGTAGGTAAATATGCTGCCTGTGGGGCTGGAGAGATGGCTCAGCAGATAAGAACACTGGCTGCTTCTCCAGAGGATCTGGGTTCAATTCCCAGCACCCATATGGTGGTCACAATCATTTGTAATTCCAGCAGCAACCTCTTATGGCCTCTGTGGGCACTGCATGTACATGGGGCAGACATACACATGCGGGCAACACCCATACTAATAAACTCAAAGTAAATAAATCTATAACAATGCTGCCAGTGATGGGTACAGAAAGAAATACATCCAGACGTCCTGAAAGGAAATAGGAGCATGCGGTGAGGCAAGGGCTTTTTTTCCTTTCTTTTTAAAAAATTTTTTTTCCTATCAGCTTGATGCAGTACAAATTCTTAACCTTAATAGTGAAATGTTTCACTGATGCTTGCCCAGTGATTGAGTAAAACCAAAACTTATTATAAGCCACAGTCATCCTAGGGTTCCCCCTGCTATATAACCTCCCTGGTTCCGTGGTTTGTAGTCTAATTGTTCTTTGCTTTACATCTAGTATCCACTTATGAGTGAGTACATACCATGTTTGTCCTTCTGGGTTTGGGTTACCTCACTCAGGATGATATTTTCTAGTTCCATCCATTTACCTGCAAATTTCATGCTGTCCTTGTTTTTCTCTGCTGAGTAGTACTCCATTGTGTATATATACCACATTTTCTTCATCCATTCTTCAGTTGAGGGGCATCTCGGTTGTCTTCAGGTTCTGGCTATTATGAATAATGCTGTAGTGAACATAGTTGAGCATGTGTCCTATGGTATGATTGAGCATTCCTTGGGTATATGCCCAAGAGTGGTATAGCTGGGTCTTGAGGTAGATTGATTTTCTGAGAAACCGCCATACTGATTTCCAGAGTGGTTGTACAAGCTTGCATTCCCACCAACAGTTGAGGAGTGTTCCCTTTGCTCCACATCCTCTCCAACATAGACTGTCATTAGTGTTTTTGATCATAGCCATTCTGAGAGGTGTAAGGTGGTATCTCAGAGTCATTTTGATTTGCATTTCTCTGATGACTAAGGATATTGAGCATTTCCTTAAATGTCTTTCAGCCATTTGTGATTCTTTTGAGAATTCTCTGTTTAGTTTTGTAGCCCATTTTTTAATTGGATTGTTCAGGATTTTGGTTTCTAGTTTCTTGAGTTCTTTATATACTTTGGAGATCAGTCCTCTGTCAGATGTGGGGTTGGTGAAGGTCTTTTCCCAGTCTGTAGGCTGTCGTTTTGTCTTATTGACCGTGTCTTTTGCCCTACAAAAGAAGCAAGGGCTTTTTAATGTGTATTCCTTTCTTAGTATTTCTGCTCACGGGTGTGTGGAGGCCAGAGGACAGTGTGCAGGAGTCAGTTCTCTCCTTCACCACGTGGTACTGGAGCTTGAACTCAGGCTGAGTTGGTGGTGGCAAGTACCCTTAACTCCTGAGCCATCTCACTTGGCCCTACGCTAGGATTTATGATGGAGAATGTGGACACCAAGGAACTGACCCCAAGCCTCCTCCTCCCGGCCCAGGTGCCGTTGGGGAGCTCTTCTAAGTTGGAGTGGCGTTCCTCCTCCCACTTCCAGGCCCTTTTTGCTTTCTGTTCCTGTTGGAGTGACCGTGGGCTACAGATTCTAGAGCTCCTGAAAGGAGCGTTTTCTTTTCCTGTATTCTGCAGTGCTGGGATCCAGTAGAGCCTTGTGTGTGGTAGGCAAACAGCCTGTAGCTAGACTACATCCCCAGCGTAGAAATGTGCTGTTGTCTTTCTTTATCCCAGTTCTGTAAAATTCAAAGTCCTTCTTTGGGTAGGCCTCTGTTAAATTGGAATACACTGAAATATGGTTTCTTGCCAGACATGGTGGCCATGCCTGTAATCTCAGCACTTTGGGGCTGAGGCAAGAGGATCACTCATCACTTGGAGGTAAATCTGGGCTACATAGTGAGTTCCAGATCAGCCGGGCTCATAAAAACAAGTTAAGAGCTGGATAGTGGTTCAGTGGTTGAGAACACTTGTTGATCCTACAGAGTCTGGGTTTGATTCCCACACCCGCAGGATTGGCTCACTATCATCTCAGTTCCAATTCCTGGTAGCTGCACTCTCTCTTGACCTCCTTAGGCACCAGGCATGCAGCTGGTGCACAGATGCATATGTAGGCGAAACAGTCGTCAGCCGGCCATACATTAAATGTATGTGTTTAAATGGGGCTGGAGCGGTGGCTCGGTGGTGGAGAACACTTTGATCTTACAGAGGACCAGGATTGGGTTCCCAGCATGCACATGGTGGCTCACAACCATCTGTATCTCCAGATCCAACACCCTTTTCTGACCACTGTGGGCACCAGGCGCACATGGCGGACATAAGGACATGCAGGCAAAACACATGTATTTCAAAAATACATGAAACAGATCTAAAAAGGACATCTAAAAAACAAAACCTGACCAGTTCTGCTAGCAGTTCCTTTAGCAGCGCAGCAGAAAACAGAAGCCCCACAAGCTCTGAAACTTCACCTGCTTCTTGTCAGTTAGGGTTTAGATTGGGACTCCAAGAATGGCAAAGTAAGAGTTGAGCCTGTGCCGTTTGCTTCTTCTTCCTACACAGACAGTTGTTATCTGCTTTGTAATTAATGGAAATTAGGAAGGGAAATCATGAGGCTTATTATCAAAGAAATCAGTCCCAGAGTATAACCTTGAATTAAGGAAGTCGGTGTCGGACTTGAAATGTGAGACTTCCTAAGAGTTCATCAAGTTTATATACGTATGCATTTAAGCATGTGAAACCCTTTTCCTTATTAACAAAGCATGGTCTTTAAAACCATTTTGGCCTGTTGTAGTCACACATGCCTTTGATCCCAGCACTCAAGAAGTTCAAGGCTACCTTGGTCTACATAGTGAGTTCCAGGACAGCCAGGGCTATGTAGAGAGCCCCTGTCTCCAAAAGGAAAGAGAGACAGAGACAGGAAAAAAAAAGAAAAGAAGCCATTTTGATGAGCTGTGCTGAGGTCCGCCACCACTGTCTGGTTTCTGTTGTCTTTATGGTAACTAGGATTTGATTGCTCTCTGGCATGTCCAGAAATGACTACCTAGTTTGTGGGCTCCAGTCCCTCCTCTGTCTCCTCGTGCTCTGATAAACAGTAGGAAGGAGATGTGAAAGGGGGAAATGCAGATCATTCTGTTTGGCTCATTCCTAGCTCTGATTTGCTAGGGTCTAGGTTGAGAGATCACTCGGGATTCTATAAACTCGTTTGTTTGTTTGTTTGTTTGTTTTATAGACAGGGTTTCTCTGGGAACCTCTGGCTGTCCTGGAATTTGCTCTGTAGACCAGGCTGGACTGCTGGTTTAAAGGTGTGCACTACCACACCTGGCCTTTTTCTTTTTTCTTTAGTCTTTATTTTAACAAATCATTAACAACTGTTAATATTTTTTCAGTTGTAGTCAGTACCTGAGCTACTTAGGGAGAGGAAGAATAGTGGAGTCAGTGTTTTCAGTTTTTGTGTCTCACTGGATCCCTGAGACAGTCCCACGAGCAAGCATGTTGAGTGCAGCTAGAAAGCTCACCATAGTGTGCTTGGCCCTCAGCCTGAGTGGACCGACGTCCTTGCACAGGGCAGTGAAATGTAGCACTAGATGAGCAGTGCGTGTGTGTGTGCGCGTGCGTGTATGTGTGTGTGTGTGTGTTGAGCACAGTGAGCACTGCAGCCGGGAAGTGATGCTCAGCTGGTTTCCATTGCAGGGTGTGTGCAGCATGGCTGTAACTGGTGTCAGACTACTCACTGGTGCTCTAAGAAAGCCGGATGCCTGGACCAGACTCTGGGGTGCGCTTCAAGGGACATCTTCACACAAACTCTGTGCTTCCTGGAATCGATACTTATATTTTTCTAGTACCAAGCTAAACACATCAAATTATAAAACACTTTTCCGTACCATTTTCCCTCTGCGGCTCCCAGGGCTTTCAGTATCTCCAAAATGTATTTGTCCATTTTCTGTACGACTCAAAAGCAATATAAGCTCCAAAAAGTCCACTAAAAAGACTCTGCAAAAAGATGCAGATGAAGAGGACTCTGACGAGGAGATCCATCACCCTGAGAGGAGTGAGCAGGAAGAAGAACTTGAGGATGACCCCGGTGTGGTCAAGGACTACAAAGACCTGGAGAAAGTGGTACAGTCTTTCCGGTACGATGTTGTCCTGAAGACGGGCCTTGATATTGGGAGAAAGTGAGTATGATGGATCACCTGTCTAGTTAGTGTAATACCGAATTACAAGTCACTTGGCCCCTATTATGGGGAATAATAACTGTAAATGTGAAAGGTAATCTGTTCCAGTTACGTCACTTTACAGATGAGAGAACTGACCTCCAAGGACATCACTTGACTACCCTTAAGTCCTGTGTGCCGTGTTTCCTTAATCCTAACACACAGTTGGTGTGCTCGAGTCCTTGACTTAACGACATAGTTCTCTTTTTTTCTCCTCCATAGTACTGGGGATCAAACCCAGAGCCTTGTACATGGCAGGCAAGTGCCCTACTACTGACCCATGCCTTTGCCCCTAAAAGAGAAGGGAATCATTTTATTAGTGCTACAAAAGCCCAGGGATTTCCCATAGACTACAGTAGGAGAAAGTACCTCCCAGAATCGATGGAACCAGTGATGGTTAAGAACACAGGTTTTGCCGGGCACTGGTGGGGCACGCCTTTAATCCCAGCACTCAGGAGGCAGAGGCAGGCGGATCTCTGTGAGTTCGAGGCCAGCCTGGGCTACAGAGTGGGTTCCAGGACAGGCTCCAAAGCTACACAGAGAAACCCTGTCTCGAAGAAAAAAAACAAACCAACCAACCCGCAGGTTTGGAGGCTAGCATGTTAGCTCAGTGGGTGAGTGAGTTCACTTCCTGGGACCCACAGACTGTAGGGAAAGAACTGACTCCATAGGTTGTCCCAGACCTCGACACATGTGCCATGGTATACATGTGCCCATAGTCATTCAGTCATACACACACACACACACACACACACACACACACACACACACACACTCTAATTTAAAAAAAAAAAGCGGTTTCTGGCCAGTGAGGTGGCCCAGTGGGTAGAGGTGCTTGCATGTAGACTGCCCACCTTACCCTAGTCCCTGATCCCAGGAGGGACAGGAGAGAACTGGTTCCTGAGTGTCCTCTGACCTTCACAGACTCACTGTGGCATGCATTCTCTCTCTCTCTCTCTCTCTCTCTCTCACACACACACACACACACACACACATACAGCTTCTTGAGCTAGAGTGCTGGGTCATGCCTGCTTGCGAGCACCCAAGGCTACGTCAGGACACTAGATTAGAAGCCAGCCTAATCTACATGTTCAAAAAAAAAAGTGCAGCCAGAGCTACTCAGAAACCCTGACTTGAAAAAACAACAAAACCCAAAAGTGGGTTCTTGGGCCAAACTACTAGTACGTGACGTTACGCACATGACTGAATGCACTGCACCTGTTTCCCCTCCTGTGAAACGGGACTAATAGAAGCTACTTTATAGGGGGGTTTTTGTTTCCTTTTTAAAGACTATTTATGAAATGTCTGTATGACAGGCAGCGGTGTGCACGCCATGTCCCATGTGGTCAGCAGACTCCTCGTGGGGCTGCTTCTGTCCTTACAGCTTCGGGAGTCCAGCTCTTGAGTGTTGTCTCACAGGCCCCCTTTCACCTTTTAAAGACCCATTATCTCTCTATAGCTCATGCTGGCCTACAGTTTACAATTTAGTTCCTAACGGCCTCAAACTCACTGAAATCCTCCTGCTTCAGCCTCCCAGGTGCTGGGACTGCAGGTGTGAGCCCCAAGGATTAAGATCTGTGTAAGGTGCTGTCCCTGGACCTGGTGTGTAGTAGGCACTCCGCGTATTTGAGCTGTTTTAAAAGCTAAGTCACGTGCAGCAGTGTGAATTTTGAGAGTTGTTTAGCGTGGTCATTCTCTCTGCAGATGTTATATTCCACAGTGACCTCACTGCTTGGTCATTCTGTTAGCAGTCACTGATGGTGTGTGTACAAGGTAAGAATTGTGATACCAGCAAATTCAAGACTTCCACACGCCTTTAATCCCAGCACTTGGGAGGCAGAGACAGGCTGTCTAGAGGGCGAGCTCCAGGACAGCCAGCTACCTGTCTCACCAAAAAAAAAAAAAATTTCCTTCTGTGATTTGTACCTATGGAGTAATTGTGTGTTTTACTTTGTTTAAATCCATGGAACACACAAGAGAGCAGTAGCTGTTCTTTGTGTCTGTCTTTCCTGGGCTGGTCACCAGTGGTTTAGACTGAGGGCAATGGCTGTCAGTGCTCACGGGTCGTTCCTTAATGGCATCTCCGTATGGGTGGTGCCTGGGTTTCCTGTCCCAGCGCAGAGCAGGCAGCTGGGGCAGGAAGGACCCCCTCGTTCTGACCACGATAACTCACTGACCTACTGCCACGCAGTCGCTGCGGAAACCGCCCGTAAAGAACCATGCAGCAGTCACTGCCTGAGCAGCCGCACCGTTTCGGAATCAGAAACGCCTTGGTCTCCCTGTTGTTGAGATGATGCACACTTTCACTTTGCATCTCAAATTTGTCACTCAAAATACAGTGGTTTTGTGGGGACCCACTGTCTGCGTAGACACGAACAGCAGTGTTTTCCTCAAAGCTGTGTAGTTGTTGAATGCATTGACATTTCCAGTCTTTCTTCTTAACAGCAAAGTGGAAGATGCTTTCTACAAAGGCGAGCTCAGGCTGAACGGGGACAAGCTGTGGAAGAAGAGCAGAACGGTGAGCCATTCGGACTGTAGTGACAGCACAGCGTCCTGGCTGTCCCTCTGCCAGCAGTGCTGTCCCGTCCCCAACTCCCCCTTGGGCCCTGGTCATGGCTGGTGGGAATCTGATCTACGGCCACTGTCTCTCCTCAGTCCGTCATGACTTATAAGGCTACCCTCTGGACTGTCAGCCATCTTTCCTCAAGACTTCTGCGATATTAATATTAGCCCCATGGATCATGGCAGGTTGATTACAAAGAAAGATCTGACTGAAGAGGTGCCACCTGAGTGGGTGTATAATTCTGTTCACGTTCTGCAGTTCTTGCTGGAACTCTGCTCTCTGAAGGGCAGCTGACAAAATGATGTTCTGTATTTTCTGACAAGTCCATATTGATACTGTTAATTGAAAGAAGTCAAGCCAGGGTGATGATGCGTCCATGTCAGCCAGGGTTACACAGTGAGAACTTACTCTCAAAAAAAAACAAAAAAACCAAAAACAAAAACTGTTCATACGAAAATGTACTTCCAATATCTGCTTTCTAACAACAGAGCTTTCTGTCTGTCTGTCTCTCTCCTCTCAGACACATACATAAAAGTAAATTCTATTAAAAAACTATTCTTTGCATACATACATGTATACCAACCAGCATGTGGGAGACTGGAGAAAGGAGGATCAGGAGTTCTAGGCTAGATCTGGCTACATGAGACTCTGTCTCCAAAATATATTCAGTACATGCATACACACACACACACACACACACACACACACACACACACACACACACACACAGACACCGTGACACACACACCATGGAAACACAGAACTCATGAAACAGATCAGACCACAGATTCAGCCAGTCACGTCTACTTACCTAGTTCCAGGCTGGCCAAGACTATATCCCGCCAACAACAAACAATGTATGCAGATGTTAATAGATGTTACATATAATAATTAACTATTACTAGTACTTAAATCTCTTTTATTCTATGTGTATTTTGTGTATGTGCATATGCATGCAGTTCCTGTGGGGGTCAGAAGATCCCGGAACTGGAGTTGCAGATGCCTGTGAGCCACCCTGAGAGCCCTGGGAACCAAACCAGGGTCCTTTGGGATAGTAACAAACACTCTTAACTGCTGAGCCCTCTCAAGCCCTGTATCCATTTTCTTCATGCCTCTTATAGTTTGAAATTCAATGTTTTTAGATTTATGTGATGGATGTTTTGTCTTCTGTCTGCATATACTGATGTGCACAGTGTGTGTGCCTGGTGCCCACAGAGGCCAGACCAGGGTATCAGGTCTCCTAGAACTGGAGTTAAGGATGGTTGTGAGCCACTATGTGAATAGTGGAAACCAAACCCATAGTTCTGCAGGAGCAACAAGTGCTCCTAGCTGCTGAGCCAACTCTCCAGCTCTCCTGCATTCATTTTCTTCATGCCTTTTTATGTTACGGCTTTTTAAAAATGTATTTAATTGGGCAGGTTGGGGACTGTGGAGACACGTGTGTCACGGTATGGATGTGGAGGTCAGAGGACACGCGAAGGAGTGGCTTCTTCCTCTGTGCTGATTTCAGGGATCAAAGCTCTGGCCGTCGGGCCTTGCTGCAAGTGCTGAGCCATCCTCCCCTCCCGCTGAGATCTAAGTAATGAGGGTTTTGCTTGTTTGAGACAGGCTCTCACTTGTTGTAACCCTGGCTGGCCTGAACACAGAGATCTGCCTGCCTCTGCCTCCTGAGTGTTGAGATTAAGAGGATGGTCGACTCATGGTTTTTATGTTTTGGGTTGTTTTGTTTTGTTTTTTTGGGGTGGTGGGGGGTGGTGTTCGAGACAGGGTTTTTCTGTGTAGTTTTGGTGCCTGTCCTGGAGCTCGATCTGTAGACCAGGCCGGCCTCGAACTCACAGAGATCTGCTTGGCTCTGCCTCCTGAGTGCTGGGATTAAAGGCGTGCGCCACCACCGCCCGGCGATCATGCTTTTGTTGTTGTTGTTTTAAATATTTTATGTGCATTGGTGTTTTGCCATGGGTGTTGGGTCCCCCGGAACTGGAGTTACAGACAGTCATGAGCTGCTATGTGGGTGCTGGGAATGGAATCCGGGTCCTCCAGAAGAGCAGTCAGTGTTCTTAACTATGAGCCTTCCTCCAGCTCCTTAACCATACTTTTTAACCATGAGATTGTATCACTTAACAAAACTAAATAAAGAGGACATACAAAATCTTTAATTAAAAGCTTGAACACAGCAGCAGGGCTCTAGCTCAGCTGATAAGAGTGTTTGCCTTGCCCTGGGCTCAGCCCCTCAGCATCACATAAACTTTAACCCCAGCAGGAGGAGGGTCAGAAGTTCAAGGTCAGCCCCTCCAAAGAGTGGGTTTGAGGCCAGCCTGGAATATATGATACCTGTCTCTTGGGGGAGGGGCAGGCTTCAAACCTAAGCCATGCTTAGAGACCTAACCTATTAGCAATTAGCAGTGGGGGGCGATGAAGGCAGAGACAGTTTTGAAGGTGGTTTCTATTTTTCTTTCTTTGACGATCCAAAAGCCTGCTGCTGGGCAGGATCTGGCTACCTCGTGTTTCCTGGGGTGTGGAACACTGAGTGTGTCACGTGTGCACGGGGGAACACTGAGTGTGTCGTGTGTGCACAGGGGTGGGGGTGGGAGGACACTGAGGCTCCTTCAGGCCCTCTCCCTGGGCATGCAGTCCGTCGCTGCTGCCTCCATGCACAGAAAGGGGAATCGTCCTCCATCCTGGTCTCAACCTCAGTCAAGGCCAAAGTGCTCTGATCCCCTTGGGCTGGCAGGTGCAGAGTGACCTGTCAGCCATTGTTAGTGACCTCACAAAAGCCAGTGCTCCCCGTGGGCCCTTCTCCCCATGCTGCTTTCCTGACTGTGCCCGAGCTGCCGAGCTGCTGTCTACTGCGTTACCTTCTGAACACCCTCCCTGCTGGAGCGCCCTGTGCAAACCCCGTAAGCTGTCCTCCTGCTTTGAGGTATTGTTACCACAGCCTAATTGCTGTGCTTCATTCTGCCTTGGGTGTTCTCTCGGCTCGGCTGCTTTCCAGCTTTCTCCTGAGGGTCAGCAAAGGCAGAGGCCAGTATTAACACTCGGCCTGCCTTGTTACCAGGAGGCCTGGTAGCCATAGAAACTGCAGCTGAGGGGAGATTTGAAATGTAGATATTTGAAGCAGCCACTAATCCCAGCCCATTTTGCTTTGTGTCTGAGAGGACCAGGCCATGGATTGGGGCTAAATAAAGCATGCCTGCGTCCCCAGCCTGCTCCATGGAGCCAGGACCCAGCTACAGGCCCTGAGGGTCCAGCTTGTCAATTCCCCCGACTCCCACCTGCCTCCAAGAAAGCTTTTCTGTGTTCTGCAGACTAGGTGGGTCTAGAGTGCGCCATGCTGTGCAGCCCTGCTCCGACGGGCTTGAGATTCCCAAGCATGGAGACGGATGCTGTCCTAAACTCACCTCCCAGGATGGGGCAGACCGAGAGGAAACATCTGAGCCCTAGAAGGCAGAAATGCCATCTTTCCTTTCCTTTTTAAAGATGCTTTTATTAGTCATATTAATTAGTCATAACAACATCTCATTGTGGCATTTTCATACATGCATATGATGGGTTTTGATTGTGTTCACCTCCCCATTAGCCTTGTCCCCCCTACCTCCTTCTTTTTCCCAACTCGTCACTTGGATTTTCATGGAGCTTTTCTTTCTTCTTCTTCCTTTCCTCCTCCTCCTCCTCCTCCTGTCTTCCTTTCCTCCTTTCCTCTTCCTCCTCCTCCCTTTCCTCCTCGTCTTCCTCCTCCTCCTCCAACCTCCACACAGGCCTTGGCATACACATGTGCCACGCCCCCAAAATAAATAAACTGTTTCAAAACAATTAAGTTGGGGGTTCAAGAGATGGCTTAGCAACTAAGAGTACTTGCTGCTCTTCCAGAGGACCTGGGTTCAATTCCTGACACCCACATGGTGTCTCACAGCCACCTGACTCCAGTTCCAAGGGAATCCATTCCATCTCTGACTTCCAAGGACACCAGGCATGTGCATGGCACACAGATATATGCAAGCAAAATAGCCATACATAAAATAAATCTAGAAAACTCTTAAATTTTAAGTGAATTTGAATGAAAAGGGCCAGTTTGTATGCTGTGTATTTCTTTCGTTATGGGAGGGGAGGCTTGGTTTATTTTTAAGATTTTTTAAAATCGGTTTTTATTTGATGTGAATGGGTGTTTTGCCCACGTCTGTCTGTACACTCTGTTTGCCTGGTGCCCATGGAGGCCAGACGAGGGTGTCAGACCCCCCGGAAGTACAATTGGAGGCGGCAGGAGCAGTGATGACTGTTAACCACTGAGCCAGCTCTGCAGCCCTTCAGTAGAGCCTGTGCCCCCATCGGAGTTGCTTTAAGCCAACAGAAGCAGTTGTTGGTCCTGGCTCACACTTTGGCAGAAACAGCAGTGGGTGGCCGGGGTGTGTTCAGCCCCTCTGGAGTTCCTGGCCAGATTCTCTAGTGCGCTGAGCTGCCTGGACCAGGTGTCTGCCAGGTGTTTCTCATGTGCCCACCCAGGCTGAGTCCTTGCCACTGGGCCCTGGAGATAACATGGCTGCTCCGGAGTGTGGGTTGACAAGCTCTAGCCACAAGTCCTCTGGTGAGATTATTTGGACCTCTGCCCCTCTAGCCACCCTTGCCCTCTCCTGTGCTGTCCTCCTTTGTGGGCCCAGGGCTGCCCTCCCTCCCCGAGACATGCTCGAGGGGCAGGCAGCCATTGTTCCACGGTGACAGAGGTTTAACACACCGTCCCATCCCCATTTTAGGTAGGTCACCTCGGTGAAAATCAGTGCCAGTTTTCTTCCTACTGCATCTAGTGCTTTGTTTGCACAGTCGTGCTAAGACTGTGCCCTACTTTTCTATGTTTTACCTGTGTTCGCAGACAGACAGGTCCGTTCAGTACTCCTTCAGTTCTCTGACTGATGACCTTCCCAACCTTGGCCATTCATCTGCCAGTCAAGTCTGTCAGGGAAGGTACTGGCTGGGTGCAGCCCTGTGCGTGAGGCCCCCTATGTGGCCACCCACAATGCAGTTCGGACCTAGGGTGACAGTGTCAGGAGTCAGGGCTCTTCTCACTTGTGCCCTGTGTGACAGCCACCACATGACGCGGAGCAGGGCTGTGTGGACGGGCCTGCTTTCCAGCCTGCAGTAAAGGCTCTTTTCTTTCTTCTGCCTCAGGTGAAGGTGGGAGACACCTTGGATCTCCTCGTTGGAGAGAACAAAGAGACAGGGACTGAGGTGGTGATGCGGGTTCTCCTGAAAAGCGTCTCTGAGGAGAAGACCGAAAGCGACAAGCACCGGGTGCTGTTGCGACGGTGGAAGAACTTGAAGCTGCCGAAGAAGACGACGACGGCATCGTCGTCTAAATAACCATGGCTTCTCCACGGCTGCGCCCCCTTGTCGGGGCTGGCCTAAGGAGAGGACGTTTGTACTGAAATAAAGTTCTCCTGTCCCTGTGGAAGCCTTGGAGCATTTTGTGGAAGCTGGGATCTGGGTTTCCCCCTGCTCTGCGCTCCTTTAGACCTGGCGTTTGGAGAGCTCCCTTGTCCTGAGCACAGAGCAGTGCTGGAGGAGGCCAGGCCAGCGAGGGCGTTAGCACTTGCCCGCCATTTTCCACATTAACTACCTCAGGAGTCACTGGAAAATAAATTGGCCTTGTTTCTTTGCGGGTTTTGTTTTATTTTTGGTATTTTATTTTGTTAGACAGGGTCTCACTGTATAACTCTGAATGGCCTCAGAATCACCAAGCTCCACCTGCCTCTGCCTCCTGAGTACTAGGAGTAAAGAAGGACAGGTACACCACACCTGGCTTGTTTAGTTTTTCAGATTGTCTCTGATAGTCCAGGCAGGCCTTTAATTCCTGACCCTCCCACCTTTAACTCCCGAGAGCAGGGTTATAGAATAGACATGTAACACCATGCCTGGCTTCTTAGTGTCTATTTAGATATTTGCCACCTAGGGACCGAGATCCCCAGATACAGGCTTCTTGTGGCTAAAGCCAGCAGAGTCAAGATCACCCTTCAGATTATGACAGGACAAGCTTTGGAGGGACCTGTTACCACTTAGCTCTAAACACTAGTCTGTTCTCTTCGGTTTGTCTCTGCAGTCCAGAGGAGTGAAGCTGCCCCCCCTAGTTCCAACTGGGCCACCCAGAATCCATTTGGAATGGTTTATTTAGGGCTCATAGATAAACCAAGGTAGCCAGAGGCTGGCTTAGTAATGGCCCCCAAGCTCAGAATGACTTCAACATTTTAATGTCTGGTGCTTAAGAGCTCTGCCCTTCCAGATGATTCGGGTTCAGTTCCCAGCACCCCCATGGCGATCAGCCATCTGGAACTCCAGTCCTAGGGGATTCGATGTCCTCTTCTAGCCTTTGTGGGTACCAAGCACATATGTGGTTCACAAACATACATGCAGATACAATACCCATACATGTAAAATATTTTTAATATAAGAAATTCTTTAGTGTTCTTTTGTAAGTTTGTATGTATGTATATATGCACACGCACACACACACACAAGACAGTTCCTATGACCTGCAAAGCCTAAAATGTTTACTATCTGACCCATTTACAGGAAAGGTTTAACTCCCAGCTCAAGAAAAAAATCAGTTTAGTTTCAGGCAGAAATGGGAACCACGGGCTAGAGAGATGTCTCAGAGGTTAAGAACACTGGCTGTTCTTCCAGAGGTCCTGAGTTCAATTCCCAGCACCCATATGGTGGCTCACAACCATCTGTAATGAGATCTGGCTCCCTCTTCTGGCCTGCAGGGATACATGCAAACAGAACACTGTATACATAATAAATAAATAAATCTTAAAAAAAAAAGAAATGGGAACCACACAGGCTTTATCAAAACAATAGACTAGTTCTAACTCACAGGAACATTCCACAAAGGACTAAACCGACATAAAGAAGAGCAGAACTGAGCACATGTGCACACTCCATGGCATTCATGGTGTGTACACTCCGGTTGGTCTGTGACTTCCTAGCAGTCAAGTCTTAGCACTTGAAGGAGCAGTTCCAAGACGCACTGTCCGTCCTCTGTGAGGCCACTCATGATGGCTCGTTTGTCCCCCACAACTTCCTGAGAGTGGAGGAAGCTTCCAGAGAGCCCAAAGCAGTTAAGTGGGGGCCCATGACTCAAGTTTTCTACCTTGTTTTGGAGAACCCAGGAAAATTTATCTTAATTTGAAAATTTAAGCCCTGAAGGACCAGTGAGGTGCCTAGAGGGTTAAAGGTGTTGCCACCCAATGACATAAGCCTGGTAACTGAATTCATTCCCTCAGACCCACATGGTGGAAGAAGAGAACCAACTCCCAAAATTTGTCCTCTGGCCATCACACACATGCTCAGGACACCCTCCAATTCTTTAATTAAAAAAAAAAAAAAAGGTTTTAGAACTGGGTGTAGTGTTGCATACATTTAATCCCAGCCCTTGGGAGGCACAGGCGGGTGGATCTCTGTAAATTCAAGGTCAGCCTGGTCTATACAGTAAATTCTAGGCCAGCCAGGACTACCTAAAAAAGACCTTGTCTCAAAAAATTTTTTTTATTTTAAATCAAAATGTTTCAAAAACTTTAAACTCTTAGGAATAAATAATAAATACTGTATAAAAGTACAACATGGAATTTCTGTTTTCATCCTTGGTTATTTTGGCTTTTCTGAGTCATCAGTAAAAATATAGTATGTTTAATTTCCATGTGAGGTAGTGACAGAGTTATAATTAATTATATAGCCATACTTCATCTCATCTCCTCCTCTCCCTCTCTCCCCTCCCTCTTCCTCAGCTTCTCTTTGCAAAGTGCACAGAAAACTCGACAAGCCTTGAATGGTGGGGGCACGTAATCCAGCAGCAGGTTTCCTAAACAGCCCATTCTGTTGGCAGGTGAGCAATGATCAAAACTCTCCTTACCTCTCTGCATCTCACAGTCCTTACTGGACAAACAAGAAGCAGGACAGAAAGCCAGAGCACGAAAGGCCTTTAGTTTTGTTTGTTTGTTTGTTTGTTTGTTTAAGGCTTCAGTACGTAGCTGGGCTGGCCTTCAGTGCAAGATCTTTCGGCCTCGGCAGACTAGCTGCTGGGTTCCAGGTGAGTACCACCATAGCTGGTACAAAGACAGCCACTTGAAAGGCCGTTGATGGTTTGTACCCGGCTTAACTGCTTAGCAGGTCAGATTCATTCCCAACTACAGGGTTTTTTGTTTTTTGTTTTGTTTTTTCGAGACAAGGTTTCTCTGTGTAGTTTTGGTGCCTGTCCTGGATCTGGCTCTGCCTCCCAAGTGCTGGGATTAAAGGTGTGCACCACCACCTCCCGGCTTCCAACTACAGTTTTTAAAAATCAAACTATGGGCCAGGCATAGTGACACACACCTTTAATCCCAGCACTCAGGATGCAGAAGCAGATGGATTTTTGTGAAGCCAGCCTGGTCTAAATAGAGAGTTCCAGGATGGCCAGAGCTACATAATGAAACCCTGTCTCAGGAGAAGAGGAAAAAAAAAAAAAAAGTAAAGCAAAACAAAATAATCGAACTACAAGAGCTAGAGAGGCAGCTCAGGGGTCAGGAGCCTGCACTGCTCCTGTGGAGGACCTGAGTTTAGTTCCAGGACCCCTATCAGGTGGTCAAAATCACCTGTAACTCCAGCTCCAAGGAATACGATATCTCTGTGGCACCCAAACTCCACATACATAGACACGTAATTAAAAATAAAATAGCTCATAAGATCTTTTAAAAATCAAACTAAGACATCTGATCACAAATTATGTTAGTTTGGTCATAGCATGTGGCAAAAGATTGATCTCAAGAGTTGCCTCCAGTGTGAGGGACGAGGAACATATTTATGAAAACTAACCGACAATCTTAAGAGCAATTCACGATGGTTCGTGGCACTCCTACAACTCACTCATTACTGAAGCTGAACGGCAGCTGCCTTTTAATGTGGTCCTGGCAGGGCATCCCCAGTAAAAATGTGACCAGCATAATGACTTGATCAAAGACAACCCTGGACACACGCCAGCGCAGTGGTTCTCAACTGGGGGCAACTTGCCCACTTTCCCTGGGGGCATTTGGCAGTAATTGTATTTTTAGTTGTCATGATGGACAGAATACGAGGGACACCAAGAAAGGAGAGCCTGAGGATGATGCTGAACATCCCATAATGTCCAACAGAGCAGCATGTCAGCACTGCTGAGGTTGGAAAATCCTGTTCTAATAAGATGACAGAGGGGGGAAATTATTTTAAATATATTGTTTGGCTGGATATGTTGGTGCATGTCTGTAATATCAGCTCTTGATTAGTAGAAGCAGGAGGATCAAATGTCTCGGGCTATCACAGGTGACATGGAAAAAAAACCCAAAACAAAAACAACCCTAAATAGTTAAAGAAAATACATCCTGCTTTCTCAGGACAGTGCTATGTTCAAGGCATGAGTGCTTTAAGGTTATAACTGTTTGGTTCACCTGGTCCTTTTACCAAAATGACAATCCTCCTTAGCAAAGTTTCTAGGAAAGAGGTTGTCAACTGAAATCTCTGCCATCTATGCTCTATACAGATGGGGAGGTGATTAGATTTCACTATAAAGTCCTGAGCTCTTTTACACTGAAGCTTGCTGCTGTGGAATAATCCTTCTGTACACTGTGTGAATATATGTCGCCATGATGGGTTTAATAAAGAAGCTGACTGGCCAAGAGCTGAACAGGATAAAGTTAGGCAGGAGATGAACATGCCATGCTAATGAAGGTACTGCCACATGGCAGAGCATAAATAAGGAATATGGGTTAACTTAAAATGTAAGAGCTAGTTAGTAACAAGCCTGAGCTATTGGCCGAGCATTTGTAATTAATATGAGCCTCAGTGTGTTTATTTGAGAGCAGCTGCAGGACAGGAAAGCTCCACCTACAGCTTGCTATGTAGACCATGTCTACCTTGAACTCAGAGACCCACCTGCCTCTGCCTCCCAATGCTGGGATTAATGCTTGGAAACTATGCTTGGAAACCTATTTTTCAAGACACTTAAAAAACCTTTCAGTGCTGGGCGATGGTGGTGCATCCCTTTAATCCCAGCACTCAGGAGGCAGAGGCAGGTAATCTCTAAGTTCCAGGGCAGTCTGGTCTACAGAGCGAGTTCCAGGACAGCCAAGGCTGTTACACAGAGAAACTGTATCTCGGAAAAACAAACAAAAAATAACTCAGTTGAGATGTTCATGAACCTACCTCAAGGGAAAAGGACATTATCTCAAGATGGAGAAGAAAGGAATATAGAGCAATGATTTCCTCTGTACAGAGTTTCTGTTTTGTGTGATGGAAAAACCCCACAAACAGACAGTAGTATCAGGATATAATATCATGAATGTAATAAATCTTATCATATAGTTATTGAATGAATACTGTGAATGTAATCAATAAATACCACAAATGTAATTAATATCATGAGTGTAATTAATATCTTGAATGTAATTC